GAGATTCAAAATTTTCTTTTTTTATGGGGGAAACTATGACCGAAACACAATAAAGCATATCGACTGTAGACACCATCCCTGCGCAGCAGCCCACCAGGAAAGGAAAAAAGAAATGATTTGTGCGTTCTACCTCTTTCAAGGGCAAAATAAGACGAGCCACTTGGTCCTTCCCAGCAAACTGGGCCAAGATCTCATAGGACTCGTAGCTTTTGCTGCTTCTTGCCTCCATCACCTTGGAGACAATTCCTTTCACTTCCTTCTCTTCAGCCACATTACCGAACAGCTCGTTGTTGAAGATCTGAAGGGGTGAGAAGAGACCAGCTGAAACACGAGGAATCCACGGTTCCATCGCTTCGGCGTTTGTGTAAAGACAAAAATCAGAACGTTCATGCTTGTTTAGTTCTTAGTTTTCATACTGTATATTCATTTTTTTTGTAATAAAATGTACAGCATTTAAAACATGATTTCACTTTTGTTTTTAATCCAGTTTACATGCTTCCATCTCGCATAAAGGAGAAAAACTAACTGCGCCACCAAAATTGTTCGATCCAGGTGTATGAGTAGCTAAACCGAACAACAGTGGTATCTTCGCCATTCTGACCTCCACCAGGATGTTCATGCAAGGATCCAGGTCTCCGCTCTGCAGTGAGCCACTGACAGCCTTCAGCAGCTGATACACGGTGAAGCTCAGGACGTGCACCTGCGATGAAACCCAGAAAGCACCACGTGAGCCCCGGACATCTACAGCACAGAGAGCACAAGCCACAGCTGCGAGCCCCCGAGACCGACGGACTCTACCTGATAGCCCTTGACTAAAACCGACTGCATCTCCCTCAAGAGGTACTGAAGGTAGCGGCAGCCCAGGGTCTCTATGATTTTGATAAGGGTGTTGCGAGCGACATCTCGGATCTCCTGGAAGCGATTTCTCAGCAGCACACACACCTTCAGCAGAATGCTGTCAGAGCACAGGAACACAGTACAAAGAGCCATGAGAAAACAACAGCAGTAACACCAAGTGTTACGGGGATGACTGCTGCCCCAGAAAACCAGACGATGACGTTAGCCTCCTTTTCTTCATATACAGCAGTCACAGCACCCTGAATGGCAGATGACAGGAGTAAGTTATCCTGCCTCTTGATCGACCACACCTACCCAGGTAAGTTCGCTTCCATGACCTCCTGTGGGAGGGACTGCATGACTTTGACCATGGCGAACGCTATGGGAATTCTGACCAC